CATCATTCAGTATTAAATAGCCAGCACATGACACTTCAGTGCAAATAAACCCCCGAAACAGGAATGTTTGTTGGTTATGCGCACTGCATTCAAGTTTTCTTTGTTTCGTGGTTTATTGCGTTTAGCAGCATAATGCAACGTTTTTTGAAACATTTTGCTCCCGGTGGCTATTAAGGCGGCTCCGAATTTCGTTTGCGAAGAACAGGCACTTTTTCGTCTCTGACCACAGCATAAAGATGTTCTGAACTCTTGCACCCAGGTTTCGGAGCGTTTGGTGTTCTAAAGCATTACAGCTAATCCTCTCTAGTTTTTCACAAGAAGGTTACCGTGAAACACAGGGTAGAAGTATTATTTAACACTTTATTCGCACCAATGAGACATCAGACATACAAACAAAATATTGTCCACGTGCTGCTTCGAGACAATCAATAGTTTATGTTAATGTTGAATGACAACCGCAAAATGATATCATTTGGGGAGCTGTTTTAGTGTGGGGTGTATATGTTGCTCTGCAACTGTTATAAATATGTTGTGAAAACCAGGCATGGCACGTTAAATGAAGCATTATGAACATCCTGGTAAACATTTACACAATATCAATCCCCACACGTGTGGCTCAGCTGTGTCAATAATTGTCCAGCACAATGTTTGGTGCCATGCGTCAGCTGACGTTATGTATTGTCAGGCCAAAGAGACAAAGCAACCAAGTTAGCATTTTCACTCAGTTTAGCAAATTATTCTGAGGATTTATTGATGGCAAGAGTGAGTTAATAAGATGATAATAAGGATGTTAAAAGAAGATGGTGATAAGCATCAATTAATGGGGGTAAAGCGGATGAAAATGATAGCTCAGCATGCAAACATTTCTTGGCCAAGTGGAGCCGAATAGGTCCCGTTGAATTCGCATCAGAATACAAGCATAGTTAAACATATTTTTCTACAAAGAACGTTAAACGCTATCGTACCATTTAAAGCACGAGCATTTTTACGAATTAGTGAAGTGAAGATACCACACAACACCGTGTCAGAGAGAGCCAAACAAACAGAAATAATTACTTTCATAACAGTGAGAAGGTATTCAATGATATTTCCCCCGCGGAAATGGAACTTAAAATAAAAGTTCTGAGCTTTACAAAAACAAATCGAGAAAGCTTGTATCACTGATCCAATCGGACCAGTCTGATCAGACTATGCACGTTAACTGAAAAAAGGTGGGATACACCCTTTAACACCATGCCTGATAGCACCATGCTTGATGATGAGCCACCACACGTTTACCGCTTCAACAAAATGTCTGATATGTTTTTCAGACAGACATTACTGGGCTCGCCTTTTTCAGATTTTAAGCGTCATAAAACTGATTTTCTGATCAAATCAGGACTGACATCAAGTGCATACAAGACCGACTTTGCTCATGATCACGCGGCAAGTTTACTGTCGCCATGCGCGTAGTAACATCCGCCATGAACCGCAGAGCTGATAGAAGAATGACGCTGGAAATGTTCACCTCTGGCCGCTATGGCATGCATTCATTATCCTTAAGCAGCTCTTCATTTCGACCAATCTGGGCGCGAACAGCAAGCCAGTGCTATGGCATACGGTACAGTGTTGCAATTGGAATCTAAGATGAATGTCCATGTGATACACTTCTGTGTTTTCCCCAATCTGCAGCATTTTACACAGGATGGCATGCATCGGACAGTATTGGGGCACCAAATCAGCAGCATTTTTTTAACGTGAATGTTCCACATTAGTGGGGGATTTTGAACTGAAACAGCCATCTTGAAATCATTCGATGTAGTTCACAGCTCTATCCGTCTTGAGACCTAAGCCCCTCTAGTTTTCGTGCTACACGACCGAGAGGATGTGCAGAGTATTTCAAGGTTACCCATGCGTCCATGACGCATGGGTAACGTCATTCACACTTGCCATGCCCCTGGTGGTGCGGCGCTCAAAGTCAAGAAACACATAGTTGTCCAGTCTTTCACATCTGGCATTTGTGAATGCGATCTCCAGATATATGACGGCCGTTAATTGGCTCTCAACCAATGTTGTGCAAGCTATGCAAGATTTTATGAAACGCGTTTTGTACTAAATAGTACAAGAAGTCATACATTCGTCTTAGCTATTGCGAAAATACGGCTTGTCATCGAATAACTTGAAATTAGCACCCTTGACGACCATGAACAAAAAATAAGCACCTCATCCTCACAAATAAGTGCGCAAGAACACCACGACAAATGGTCAAAACACGGGTACCTAACAACATCTAATTCATAATACATATAACGTACTTACATATGATACAGCATATTGACCAAATCGATAAATTGTGTTGCGTAGAGCACTCTTTCCCATTTCAAAGGAAAACATTAGTTATAGGTGAGCTCACCTCATCATGTTTCAAGTTTTACTCATTGCCTCCAAATGTGGTGTAGACCCATTAAAAGGAATGAATCACAGGATTTGAAGCGTTTTGGAGTGCTTTTGGAACGTCCAAATCACCAGGATTTTTCATAACGGACGCGGAAAATTCCTGCACGTCCTTCATTGTGAACCTTGCAGCGTCATTCGATCTTCAACTCCAAAATTTACGGTCGTACTTGGATGCGGTGGCCGAGACGTCTGTCGTTCAGCCGGGTCACGCCAGTGCACCACTGCAGTAGCTGACCTAGCAGGTCTGCCAAGGACATCATCGAGACACCCAGCAACAGGCTGACGTAGCTGCCCATCTCGCTGAACAGGCTGACGGCAGGGTAGGAGAGCCGCTCCGTCATCACCTCCTCTGAAATTACGTCCTGGCCGATCGAAATTGAGGTTAGAACAGACCCTCTTGCTGACCGATTCCCAGTCAACGCAAGCAAAATCGGTTTGCGATAAGCGACGTGAATGCGATACTTCTGTTCCCGGCAGGCACGTAGACAGTTGCAATTATCTTTTTTATATGAAAGCTTTCCTTCTTCAATCAACTCTGGGGAGCATTTCGGATGGTGGAGGTACTCCTTCCCCATCTCTGGAAGTGAGCAGTTGAACGTTTTTGCCCACAGCGCGTAACGGCATCTCATCGTGCAGTTCTCGCTGTTGTAGCCAGCAGTTGATTCACAGCTGGTATGACGTAGGCTGTCTCGGATTCGAACGTATGAAGACACGCGCACCTTGACTTGTGCACCTTGAACAATCAGGATTCTCTCGTCTTTTCGCAACGATGAGGAACTGAGGCGCCGCGAGATGATTGGTGGCCGGCGAGGGTGAATGTACATCCAGTGCTGACCCATCAGTGCTGTGATGTACTGCTGATCACGTAGGATCAGTCTGAGACGAAATTTATGGTTAATCCACGTACTGGCCATCACACCCCATGTCACGTTAGGAGTGAGCGTGTGGCAAGCACGCTTCTCAGACGATATCCAGGAACGCCAGGTGCCAGTACGCACTGCAATGAGTCCTCCGAGATAGTTGCTGTTTGCCTCTGGTCGACAGCCCATTTCACATGTCTTCACCAGCGACGTGAGGGAAGGGCTTTGCTGCCAGACTAGCTCAGCGAACGTGACGTTGTTCCTCCGGACGAGATTTGCTTTAATGCTTTCGGTCGGGCGGACACAGAGCGTAACGCTCGGTATGTCCACGTCTCTTGCGTGCGTGTATACAATCGCCGTAGAGATTGGTTCGCTGAGGTACAACTGAACCAGCTGCACACATTGGTAGCCGGCCAGGGCGGCGCAGCCGAGCCACAGCAGACAGCGGGCGCGGGCGGCCGGGGTCCGAGGCCAGCACGACGGCCGGGACATGGCGCAGCAGTGGGCAGGGACGTCCGCTCAGCACCGACCGATCGGCTGTACTCCGGTCTGAGGTCCCCCGTACAGGACCGACCATCCTGCTGGGCCCGCATCGACCCAGGTAACACTACATTGGACGTGGACTTGGACACTTTGTAGGTGTCACAAAGCTTCGCCACCGGGTACGCCGGCAAAACCATGACAATGCCATCCCGAAGGATGGCGTTTATCAGCTCTGACAGAGGGGTGTCAAGTGTAAATAGCTTTCCTGGGTCAGCGTCGTGGATCAACAGCAAATTTCAGCCACTTGAATGTAGAAAACGTGCGACTTTCTACGCCCAGCTCTGGCCGCGAGTGCCAGGGCGCGTTAGAGCAAACATATGTCGTGAGGCAGCCATGGTGCAATTTATAAGAACCATTCAGGTGGAGTCAGAAAAGTATCATGTGTAGCGAAGCTATGGACGCACAGCGCATGGCTTACAACATGATGTGCATTAGCGTTCATGTGTTTTTGTTTCTGCAGCTTCAGATCTCCCCGCCAAATCTTAACTCGTTTGTAAAAGCACACGGTGTACAAATTATAGAAGGTAATCGTTCGACGCTCAGCGATGAAGTCAGGGTCACATCAGATGGCATTGATCTTGAGCCGAGTAACTTCTGCTCAGAACTAGACTCCGTTTGCCAGGAGTTGAAGCGTGACTATGAAATAGGAAAACATCCCTGACATGACCGTTAACTTTGAAATAGGAAAACGTGGCTCTTAAACTAACACATCCGTTAGGTTAACGGTTACGTTTCTGCCTGGGACACTAACAAGTCCCAGGCGGATTCCGCAAGGCATTCGTGAGCGACTCTCACGGCAGATAGAACAAATCTTGAAAGACCACCGGGTGCGGTAACATATAGTCTTATTTTGCGCCAGAGGGCTCTCTGGGAATTCAAAGGCGCTGGATGGACGGCATGAAACTGGATGATCGAGCAGGAGACCGTCAGACGCTGCATACTCCACCTCCCGCGTCGAGCCGCGCGATCGTGCGGCTCGGACTTCATTCCAGGTGTCGTGAGTGGTCAGCGACGGTCGCGCACAACCGCCGTACGATGTTCACGACACATATCTTACCGGGGCTCATATTCGTTTTCATGCTACCATTTTGCTGACTGCGCAACGCGGTGCTGCATCGACCCCGGGTTATTTAGCCTAGTATGTGATAAGAAAAGAGCCGCGATTACATTGGGATATATATTCTGTTCGACACGTAAAACAATGTGCGCGTTAACAACGAATCACCATGCAGTATGCGTTGGATACGCATTTCACACCAATTATCAATCCGCCCATTTTGCTGCAGGCCACACACGTTTGACGCTTTGACTGGTCCTTTCACCATAGGCGCGATCGAGATGAGCTTTCCCGCTCTTTTGAAACAGTCAGTGCGGCTTCAAAGGACCGCAGGAATTTCTTGTCACAACAAATTTAAACACGATAGGCTACCGGAAATGGAGCCATTTTATCGCTTGTGATCAGAAACGAGCAAGCAAGGCCACCTGCTATATTTCATGGCCCCTCAGGCTTCACGCCTTTTCCAGTTGATGTCTGTGGGCACATAGAAACATTGTCGCCCAACTATTGCGACTCCTCACGACAACATCCGACGGACCTCCTTGCCGGCCGGGGTCGCTTGACCCAGCCCGACGCACGCCGCATACCCTCCAACAAAAGACAGCGCAGGCGACGGCGCTTAGAACAAGTCGACCTTCTTCTTCAGCTGTTGCTGCTTCCAGGCGGGCAACTCCGAGAAGGCCTCCAGCGTCATGCCGAACGTCTCCTGGAATTGCTCGGGCGTCAGGTAGCGCTCCTTGATGGACGGGTCAACGTCGGTCGGCAGCAGGTCCGCGTCCTTCTCGCGCAGGGTTTGGAGGTCATAGGTGGGCAGTTGAACGGCCGCCGTCGCGCTCCGCATCGACACCGTGCTGATACCCTTGTTGTCCGCGGAAGCGCTCTTGCGGACGCTCTCCCAGTCGGGCTGGCGCTCCCACAGCTGGTCGTCCCAGACGCCGAAGAAGCCGGTGAAGTTGGGCGGCTCGCAGCCCTGTTTCACACGCACGATCGGCGTGTCGACACCGCGACCGGCCGGGTCCGTGCGCAGGTACTCGATGGCTGTCTTCTCGGAGAGCTCGCGCTCGGTCTTGTTGGAAGCTGCACCGATCCAGAGGAAGACAGTGTTCCAGGCGTCCAGCAGCATGACGTCTGAGGCGTTGAGGTCCACCTGCCCGAAGTCGCACACCTCTTCAACGCGGAACCCGCCGGACGCGTTCGAGCACTGGAAGAGGCGTGCCGGCTGTGGCTGCTCGGGCTCCGCCAGCCGTTTGTCGTTGGCGTACGGCTCCAGGCCGCCGAGCAGCGTCCAGAACTCGGGACGCTCCTGGCCCTCGCACACCACGCTCGGTTCCGCTTGGATCTCGCCGGCCAACTTCTTCGCCATCTCACGCTCGTCACCGGTGGCGCCGCGGCCGCACCAGACGACTACCTGGGCGCCGTGACGCAGCACGAAGCAGTCGTTGGAGTTCAGGGAGCCGGCGCGACACTCGACCTGCACAGCGCGTGTGTTGTACTGAGTCGTGCCGTGCACCTGCAGCAGGTACGTATCGCCAATCGTGGCGTCGCGGGTGCCGTTCACGCCGTCAAAGGCGGACGAGCGGCCGCCCGAGTACACCACCATGTGGCCGCTGAACATGGCTAGGAAGTGTGGCGGCTCCTTGCCTTGGACGACGCGCACCTGAACCGGCCGGCCGCCCAGGCTGTCGTCCATTTCGACGGTCTTCAGGGCGGCGGTGCCCTGCTCGTCCTGCGACGAGTGCGCGCCCAGCCAGTAGTAGATGAGCTGGCTGTCACGGCCGCACGCCTCGTACGTGTACAACACCACGTAGCAGTCGCCCGCGTAGAACTTACCGTAGTCCTTGACCGCCAACGGCTTCAGGTCGAAGTCTTCCACGCGCCAGATCTCCTTCTTGCCGGAGCCGTCGTCGACCATCTGTGTTTGTGCCGCCAGCTCGCGGTGCTCGTGCAGCGTCGACGCGTCGAAGCTGGTCTGGATGGTGGGCGCGATCTTGTTGAACGACGTCTTCTTGCCCATCCCAATGGTGGCGTCCTTGTCGCGCCACGACTTGAACAAGCTCTTAAACTCGTCCGACTCGCCGCCGTCAATGACGCGCGTCACGGGCGTTGAGTTACTGTAGCTCTTCTTCTTGATGAAGCCCTGTGCGTTGCGCATGGCCTCGGCGCGCTCCTTGTGCGTCGCGCGTCGCCCCACCCACACCCAGATTCCCTGTTCGCCGTTGTCGACGATGAACGAGTCGTTCTTTTCCAGGTCGGACTGCAGCAGCGGGCCGCCCTTCATCTCGACCACTTTAAGCGCGCCGTCCTCGTCACTGCAGCGGTACAGCCGAAGCTCCTCCGCTAGACGGCGCGTCTGCTTGTCGTCAGAGCCTTCGGTGGCGCCGCGCACCGACCGCTCACGAAGCGGCAACAGCTCGTTGAAGAGCGCTTTCTCATTGGCCGACAGCGCCTCCTCCTTTCCGCTCTCCATGATGATGATGTCGGCACCGCCGTGGTCGTCCTTGAAGGGACTGCGCCAGCTTGGCACCCTGGATCTTTTCCATCGGGTTGGCCTCGCGGCCCGTCCACACGTAGATCGCCTGCTTGGCATCCAGCACGAGCACGTCACCCTCGTTGAAGTGCTCCCAAGCGACGGCCGGCATCTGGCGGATCACCGGGTTACGCTTCCCCTTGACCAGGTAGAGTGTCGGCTCGAAGTCGTCAGTGACGTGCGTCAGCCCGGAGGCAACGCCGCCGTCCAGGTGTCGGATGCCGGCCGGGAAGTAAGCCCGGAAGCGCTGGCTCTCATGGCCCTCGACTTCGCGGTACTGCACTGGCAGCGCCCCCCAGCAGGTCGTCGAGCTCGACCGTCTTGTAGGCGGCCACGCCTGGCCTCGTCTTGCGACGTCTGCGAGCCCAGCCAGAAGTGGATGCTGGTGGCGAGCGGGCCCGAGATCTCGTGGGCGCGCGTCTCGACGCCGCCCGCCTGGCCCGGCTCAGACACACTCAGCACCACGTAAGAGTCGCCGCGGTGGAACTTGCCGTACTGGTCGCGCGGTAGCGGCACGAGCACCATGTTCTCGACGCGCCATATCAGGAAGCAGGCGGTCCGCTTCGGGATGCTGCGAAAGGCCGGGTCAGTGGAGGCCATGACGGACGAGCGCCGGACGCGGTGGATCGCGGACGTGCGGGCGGCGGCGGCGGCCGAGTGCCGCTCTCTCGCTCCACGGCCGGCTCGCCGCACGCGCGATAAAGACACACCACGCGGTCAGATAGCGACCATCCGGGCACTGCGCGCGCCGCCGCTGTCGCTCGCGCTAGCCGGCCGGCCCGGCTCGGGGCGCAGGGGCCCGCCGCCCTGCACACCGCGGTTGACGCGTCTGGCGCGGCCGCAGCTGGGCGCACCGGAGCGACCCGCGCCACACCAGCTCACTGGAGCGCCGCGCGACGCTGGCGCGCCGCGGCTGGGCGGGGCGCGGTTCACTGCCGCCTGTCCCGCTCACCGCCGCCGGTGACCGGACGCCGTCCGACCGGCGTGGCACGTTCGCCTGCGCTGCGGCCCCGTGCACCACGCGGCGTCGACTAGTGAGCGTATGGGGCCCGCCGGGGCGCGTCCGTTAGCCGGTCCCCAGGCGCCGCGCCGCACGCCGCCGTGCAGCCGGTGCAGGTGGCGCTGCCGGCGGCACGCGTGCACGCGCAACCTGCCGCGGCTTGCCGCCAAGGTCAGCCGGGTGGTGGTGGTGGCGGGGGGGGGGGGGGGGGGAGGGGAGTCTGCCTCGCGGCAAAAATTAATTGCCGCCGATCTGCACCCCACGGCGGCCGGACGGCGGGGCTTCTGATGTCACGGCGCCGCCTGATTTACTGCTTTAGCTGGTTGGCTCAGGCTGTCGTAAATTGAAATTTGCTGACCCGCCCGTCAGTTGGTGGAAGTGCACGGGGATCAATATTTACAGCGCCGCCCGTCCCAGGCGTTTGATAGTCCGCAGTCGGCGACTGTGCACTGAAACCGGACCTGCCATGAGTCGGTCCCGTGTCCGGCTGAGCTCAGCAAACGCCCACGAGCATTTCAGACGGGCGGTATTGATAAACAAGTGGCCAGGCCGCGCGATGATTAGATACGAACGTGACGGGTCACATGCCCAGCGCAGGTGGCGCCACTGTCGCGCATGAAGCAACGTGACACGGCGAGCGATGGTGACTATTGGGCTCTGGCCTGCCCGGACAGAGTGCCCCTATAATGTTACTACTGGGGACGTCAAAACTTTTGTCAAAGCACGCTATCGTGTGGGTGATGACCGCGCACCGGGGCAATCAATCAATATGCGTCAATGAGTGCAACCCGGCTTTCATCCCCATTGGCGTGCCGTGAGCCCGTGCATTTTGCAATCCTTGCGCGACTCTCACAAACCGGCGGCGAGAGCACGCGGCAGGTGTTTCACCCCGGGAACGGCGGCCGGCCGCGGAGCCCATTCGCACGGCGGTTTCTCCGGGCCGCCTCTGTCGTGACGCCGCCTCGGTGGCGGCGGGCCACGCGACACCCCGCCAGCCCGTTCGTGGCGCTGCGGCTGGCCGCCTCCGTCGCCGGTGCCGCCCGCGGACAGCGGTGGCAATTTTCCGCCGCGCCGCCGCGTCGCCAGCGTGCTGGGGCGCCGCAAACGCGCCGCGCGCGAGGGAGGCGTGTCCCAGTCCGCGCCGCGAAAGCGAGGCTTGTCTTGTCCCCGCCCAATGGCAGAAAGGGGGGAGGGGACGGGACCGCTATACAGATGGGCTGGCTATTACGGTCCGAGGCTGGCTGGCCCTCAGCGCCCTCCCCGCTGAGGCCGTCCGGTGGACGGCGGCGGCGGGAGCTCCTGGGCAGACCGGGTCTGGCAACGGCCTGCAGCTTCCGACGCTGACCCCTCTCACCCGGGCTGTGTCCGTGCTGCCGGAACACGCCGGCGGGCCGGGTCAGGTCACGCTCCAGGCCCAGTTGTGGCTGCCTCTCTCCCGTCCCGCAGGCGAGTAGGCCCGGGCAGGGCGCTGTCCGCCGGGTGGACCGGACCGGTTTTGCCGCGTGCATGGTGTTTGTGCCGCGGCTCCGTCTCAGTCTGCAGTGCTGGAATGCGAACCAGTCGCCGATGGTGCAACATGCAGGCCCCTCGGCGGCACGTTTGGAGGGCACTGTGCGATGCCTGTGCAGTCGGGGTTGTGAACCACTGGCGGACTTTCGCTGCTCGCTGATGGTTTTGTTTTTAACCACTCGTGTGACTGCTGCGGGCAGATTAGAGTTGTGTGGTGCTTGCCCTGCAGTGAGCGATAAGATACTGAAAGCCGGTCACTCGGGGTTCTGAAGACATAGGGGTTCAGTGCACAGAACCATGTAGTCTTCAAATGATGATCACAGTGGCACGGCTGTAACTCAGTGGCGCTATCTGACTTCACTGCCTGGTGATGTGTTATATATATAAGCAGCACACGATGAATTGCTGAAACGAGACATTGCGCCGACGAATGGTCATAATTCAACTTTTAAGTACATGATCCAATTTGCAAATACAGTTTTGAGCATTGAAATATAATATGCCGCATACGGCTATTTTCGGTCTCTTGATCTGCATGTGCCCGTTTGAGCACAAAGTTTCTGGGATAAATAATTTAAGGCGAAGGTTTGCGTGTAATGTTTTGCTTCGGTCAGACTGCGAGACAAGGAAATGTGACATTTCGTCACGATCTGTGACGAAGCAGAAGTTTTTATGAACCTTACCTTGCATTGCCAATCGGAATAAATTAAGTTAAACTTTTTAAAAAAGCAGCTCAGCTGGCGAAATAGATGCCATGTTATTTAATCAGATCGAACTAAATCATGACGTTTAGGTTCCAGTATATATCAAGCTGAAGTGTGGGGAAGGAGATTTTTGAACAGCGGTTCTATCGCAATTTGTGATGGGGCGATGCGATGTTTGTTGGACCGAGTCCCAGTTCCATGCGCAGTACCAATGCTATGTGAACAGACTAGACACCACAGCTACTAAAAACAGCTAGATACAGTACCCATTGCATCAATTAGTTATCAATGGTGGTTGGTCCGGCTTAGAAAGTGACTGTCTCAGATACACACCGCACGTTCCTACAGGACTATTCTCTGCAGATAACTGCTGTTGGGCGCGGCATGTCACTGCCATGATATTCATGTTCAACAAAGCTTGGTAAAAAAGCGATTCCTCGATTCGGACGGGGATAAATGTCTACGTGCCATGAGTTCCCAACCTCATCTTTTGTCCGCTGTTTTTTGAACCAGCGGTAACTTGTACGCCCGTGATGAGCTCACTCAGATATGTTGAAGCGACTGCTGGCGGGCCCTGAGTGCCATGTGTGGGCTGTAGGAGCCATGGGTACCGAGGCCTGCGGCCGTGACAACAAACTGGCCTGGCTTTGGCACGGCACGGAAAAAGAACAACATTGACTCTTCCCGGGTGGGCTCACATTCCGCGAACGGCAACCATCCGAGCCAATCAAGGCGATGCCTGCCTCGCGTAGTACCGCTGCTAAGGATCTTCGCGGCGCTACCGCATCAACACTGTCGGCACGTTCAGCGTGGCCCCAAGCGTCTTCGCCGCTACAGGAGCGACACTTTGCCGTGTTGTATTTCGATGAACAAAGACTTCGCCTCGAGAACAATCCAGCGCGGCGGCGGCTGACGCCCGCCGCCCGTTCTCACGCCGCCGTAGTCGGGTGTCGGGTGGCTCTACATTCCGTCACGATCCACGATCCACGCCGTCCTGATACTTTTACCAGCTATCCGTTATCCGGTGCACGCCTTTCCTTGCCGATCGTACGCCATGAATGCGAAGAAAATGTGGCCATGACCGATGCTTTCCTTATGCTGCGGTCTCGTTTGAGGCGGCTGGCTGGTTTCTGCGCCCGTCGGTCAAGCTCCTATCTTTTGTGTATTTGTTTTTTTACGGGACATTCGCGACCGTGGTATGCACGACCTCAAATCATGATCAAACGGCACTTGAGTCTAGGATCAGGGCCCACTCGTGACCTTGTCCGTGACCTCGGTCGACGACCTTGACCCTTCCGCCGCTCCATGAGGCAGACCATGGTTGGCAAACCATGCAGCCGTGACTGGGTGGCGCGTGCCATCCCGGTCGGCTTCATCAGCCACTGCCGGACAGCTGGGACTTCGTCGTCGTCGTCATGTGGACTTCACGACGCACTCAGCTGCTGAGGCTATATGGCGTCGCCTGCCTCTCACCCCGGCAGGAAGGGCGGGCACCGCGGGGAATCGAGCCCCGTACCCCCGGTTTCCCAGACGTGCAGTGGTTGGCGCAGACGCGTTGACCACTACACTACCGGCCACACTGATAGATGGGTCTGTGCTGTCAGCGAGCGCGAAAAAGAGATCTCAGAGGTCCATGTAGGTGGGCCGACAGAGTAGGACGGGTCTCGATCTTATGGGCTGATTTTCATTGAAGCGATGGACTGGTTCGAGTTTGAGTGCATGGCACATGATAATGAAGCTTGAAATGTGACACAAATGTCTGACGGTTTAAATTCCATTCGCTTCGTGGCTGTACTTGCAAATCATGTAAGCAATGCTTACTTGCATACGGAACGCGTACTTGAAAACCTTTGGCGTGAATACTTACAGGATAATTTTGATTTTGTGCTTCCGGGAACATAAAAAGCAATGCCTTATTTGATTATCTTACCCGTTTCGTAACTGTTCGAAAGGAAACGTTCCACACTTGAAGGCAATGAAGCAAGCATCAGATCAAATGAGATAAGCTCGCTTGTAAGTATTGGCATAGTTTTAAGTTGGAAAGCTGCTGCAGACAACATAATTCCTCTGTTTAGTTAACATGCTCCTCAATACGTCATTGTTCGATTACATCATCATGCCTTGGACAACATTGATTAGGAGCCAGTTGACGGCCGTTATATCTGGAAATCGTGCTTACGGAAGCCAGATGTGAACGACTCGATAATTGTTTTATTTGGCCTTGATCTTCCCATGGGCAACGAAATGGCAGAATTTGAAGGCCATAATTTTGAATTCATGGATGCCTGAGTGACCTTGAAATAGTCCCCTCAAAAAGTATGCACATCTTCGCAGGCGCGTAGCTCAGAAACTAGAATGGTTTATGTCTTAAAAAGGACAGGGTTGTGACCTACACCTAATGATCTTCAATATGGCTATTTTAGTTCAAGCCCCCATACAAATATGGAACACTTCCTTAAGTATACACGGATGGCTATTAGCATTCAATTCCGACATTAATGAAACACTGCGGACAGCAGAGAGTTCCGTGAGCGG